TTTGTCTAATCTCATCTGACAATCTGTCTTTTTTTAACAAGAACAATTTACATTCTGTATTACTACCAATATAACGAAATTTAAGGTACAATGTTTTGTCATTTTACTTTTGTATCTGGGAAGGTGGACTTTTCCGTCTTCTTCTAAATTATTTAAACATATTTTAGTATTCATTGTCCACTGATTTTCCATCTCTGCATCTCTATGTGCTATTTTTTAAAAGTTGCTTTATGAATTATTAATGTATTATTAGTGTTAATATTTTACCATTTCCACTGAGATACAGAAGCTTCACAGCCAGATAAAAAGCATTGACTTGTCTCCATATGTAATTGTCAAACATACTAAAACTATGCATATTACCCCTTTAATGTTATTTTTACTTTCAATACCCACAGAATTTAAGGGAAACTAGGAAAGAAAACTAAAACTACTGTTTATATCATTTCCCATTCTGTCTTTCCCTGTTATAATCATTTTTCTGCCAAAACTTTGAATAGAACTTAGGAATTTCTTGACAAGTTTCCTTTCCCGTGAGAATAAATTTATATCCCAGTAACTACTAAGAGATATTTTCACTGGTCCATCAGAATACTACTTTTGTTCTTTATCTACTTTTTCTTCTGTTGCCTATACCTTTAATGTAACCAAAGAAATAACTACCAAATCCAATGTCTCATAAATTTTCCCCTTAACCTTTTTTTTTTTGGAGTTGGAATCCTACTCTCTTGCCCAGCCTGGAGACCTTCGGATATAATCGTGCACAAACTGTAAACTAGCTCACTGCAACCTCTGACTCCTGGGTTCAAACAATTCTCTTACCTCAGCCTCCCAAGTAGCTGAATTTACAGGTACCTGCCACAATGCCCGGCTAACTTTTTTTTGTGGCATTTTCAGTAGAGACGGAGTTTTAGCCATGTTGGCCAGGCTGGTCTCATACTCCTGACCTTGTGATCTGCCTGCCTCAGTCTCCCAAAGTGCTGAGATGACAGGTGTGAGCCACTATGCCTGGCCCCTTAAACTTTTAAAATTTTATTTCTTTTGTCTAGCTTTGATTCATATTGAGTCAATATTTAAATGGGATTTTAGGTAGGATTGTCCAAAGGAGACAACACACTCGTTGGTTCTGAGTTTCCATTTCTTGACGGGCCAGTAAAGCTCCTCTTTCACCCTGTTTTCCCTTATCACTAGACACAGAAACTAAAAGCCATGGCTTCAGGCTGCTTTTAGCTTAAAACAAAACAGAACAACAACAAAAAATAAGGTGGCTTGGACAAGCTTGTCTAAGGTAAGGTTCTAATGATGAAAGACTAAAAACTTTTCCTCTAAGATCAGGACCAACTCAAAGATACCCACTTTTGCCACTTCCATTTGACATAATGATTCTCCTTCAATAATCGGGAAAATTAAGGAATAATCAGAAAAAAAATATGAAAAGCATAAAAATTGAAATTCTAAAGATTACACACTAGTATACATCAGTATAATAAAAAAAAAAAAAACAGTACCCAAAATCAATGTTGGCATATGAGGGACTTATTATTAATGAATATAAAGTTTTAATTTAAAAAAGGAAAAACTAGCAGGTATAGTGGCTCATGGCTGTAATCCCAGCAGTTTGGGGGGCCAAGCCTGGTGGATCACCTGAGGTCAGGAATTCAATTCCACCCTGGCCAACATAGTGAAACCCCGTTTCTACTAAAAATACAAAAATTAGCTGGCTGTGGTGGCAGGCACCTGTAATCCCAGCTACTCGAGAGGCTGAAGCAGAACTGGTTAACCCAGGAGGTGGAGATTGTAGTGAGCAAAAATCACACCACTGCACTCCAGCATGAGCAACAGAGTGAGACTCTGTCTCAGGGAAAAAAATTTAAAAAGGTGAAAGACCTTTGGATATATTGGTGCACAAACTGTAAAGGAATATAATACTAGTGACCTGGACAACTAAAATCTATTAAATGGGTGAATTTTATGTTATGTACACTCTGTCACAATAAAGATAGTAAATCACAGGAAGAGCCTGAATGAAAAGAAACAATAAGATAAATATGATTTAATCAAAATTTAAAACTACTGCCCAGGTGCAATAGCTCACATCTGTCACCTCAGCACTTCGGGAGGCCAAGGTGGGCAGATGTCCTGAAGTCAGGAGCTCAAAATCAACCTGACCAATGTGATAAAACCCTGTCTCTACTAAAAATACAAAAATTAGCTGGGCATGGTAGCACCGGCCTGTAGTTCCAGCTACGCAGGAGGCTGAGGCAGGGGAATTACTTGAATCTGAGAGATGGAGGTTGCAGTGAGCAGAGACAGAATGCTCTGCTCTAAGAGGACAGCAGAGCACTTACAGCCTAGATGACAGTGAGACTCTAAAAAAAATAAAAGATGGGAAAACCTCTTAGGCATAAAGCACACTACAAAGATACTGATGAGAGAAAATATTTCTAATTAATTTATCTTTAAGGGCCTTCTATCATAAATATACAAAAAAGATACCAAAATGTCTTACAATGCAACAAAAAAGGCAATTAAAAAATGAGAAAAGTATTTGAATAGACAGTTCCCCCCAAAAATTACAGAAATTGCTAATAAGTCATCAAAAAATGTTCAACAGTACTAAGTCATTAGGGAAATACAAATCAAATCCAAAAGACTATCGTCTTCACATACTTCAAGATGGATATACTAAAAAGGAAGGAAATAGTAAGTGTTGACAGATATAGAGAAACTGTAGCCTTCACACTTTGCTGATAAAAAATGTAAAATTCCGGACCAGGCACAGTGGTTCACATAATACCAGCACTTTGGGAGGCTGAGGTGGGCAGATCGTCTGAAGTTTGAGACCAGCCTAGTCAACATGACCAAATCTTGTGTCTACTAAAAACTCTGTCTCTACTCAAAATACAAAAATGAGCTGTGGTCCCAGCTACACCTGTAGTCCCAGCTACTCAGGAGGCTGAGGCAGGAAGGCTAAGGCAGGAGAGTTGCTTGAATCTGGGAGCTAAGGTTGCTATGAACTGAGATTGAGCCACCACACTCCAGTCTGTCTAACAGAGTGAGACTCAGTCTTGAGGAAAAAAAAAAGGAAATGTAAAATTCTACAGGGGCTTTGGAAACAAATTTGATGGTTCCTCTAAATGTTAGACATAGAATTACCACATGATTCAGTAATTGCACTCTTAGGTATACTCCAAAAAGAAATGAAAACATATATCCACACACAAACTTGTTCATCAATTTTCACAGAGGCACTATTCATATAGCCCAAAGATAGAAATGATCCAGTTTATCAAAGAATAAATAAACAAAGGGTATCAGTCAGCCATAAAATGAACAAAGTGCTGATTCATGCTACAAAACAGAGATACTTTAATACACCATGTTTAACACAAGAAGTTAGAAAGGCCATATATTCTGTGATTAAATTAAATGATATATCCAAAATTGGCAAACCTATCTATATATAGTGAACGGTACACCTTTTGTTGCCAGGCTAGGAAGAAGAGGAAATTGGGCTAAATGACTCTATAATGAACAGGGGACCTCTTTTTTTGGTGATGAAAACGTTCTGGAACCAAATACTTTCGCAAAAATTTTGAATGTACCAAACCCACTGAATTGTACACTATTAAGTTGATAAAATGGGAAATTTTATAAGAACTTTACCACAAAAAGAAAGAAGTGTGTTAGGAACATGTGTCTAGAGTGTATGTAACACAAATATGTTAGGACAAATTGCAAGCTCTACACTTATTTGGAGAAAATCATGGCAAGACAAAAACACACATTACATTTAAGTGTAAATACATTATAACTTAAATACATTTTAACACAAAATATAAAGAAGCAAAACTATATATATCTACATACATGTGTATGAAATTACTGTATAATAATGTATATAATTATGTAACTATGTTATACAATTAACACACACAAATTATTGAGTGAAAAATTTGAAGAGAGAAACTTAGAAGTATTACAGCAAATTGAAAAAACAATAACGGAAATGTTGACTAGACTGAAGAAAAAGATCTTGAGGTAAAGAAAGCATATGGGAGAGAAAAAATCGTTGCAACAGGTAAAACGGAGAGCAAGTACTGCTATCAGGTTATGTAACTGAAGGAAGAAAAGAAGAATTATATATGCATATCATCCTTATAACCTGGGCTTACAGTTCAGCTACAGAATATAGAATTTATACTGAGATGTAATTGGTAGTCAGTATACTACATAGGTTTGTGACTTTCAAAATAAATCAAAGTGATATGCTAACAGATATAAGGGTGGCTGCCAAAAGTGAAACAGAAAAGGCAGACCAAAAATCAGAAGAACCCTTTCCTTTCCTACCTCTGAGATATCTAGGAGATACTTTGTTGAAAGAACTCTGTATTCTTATGAAGGGCAGCACTGTTTTTCTATACACTAGGAAGAGCATATGTTACAGTATAAGGTAAAAAGTTGCAGTACAGCATTTTAGTATCATGTATTTAAGTAGGCCTTAAAAAAATAAAAAACAAACAAAACAGGATCATGATGTAACTGAGCTCTTTATTTGTTTTTAGAAACAGAGTCTCAGTCTGTTGCTTAGGCTGGAGTGCAATGGTGTAGTCATAGTTCAGGTGATCTTCCTGTGTCAGTGTCCCATGTAGTTTGAACTACTAGTACAGGCCACCATGCCCAGCTAATTTTTTGCATTTTTAGTAGAGATGGGGTTTTGCCATGTTGCCCAGGGTGGTCTTGAACCCCTAGACCCAAGTGATCTGTCTACCTGGGCCTCCCAAAGGGCTGGGACTACCAATCTCAGCTATCGCAGTTGGCCTAATTAAGCTTTTCCAAACCTAAAAAAAGGCCAAATTTTATTGGTCACTTTTGAGGATGTTAGGAAATTATTACTGTACAAATTTGTAAAGAAAAAATACCCCTCTCTATAAAATATAAAGTTATAAATTATTATATATAACATATACAACATACTGTTATATGTAATATATACTTACATATTTTTTTGTTCCCAGGCTAGGAAGAAGGATTTTGATTTCAGTGGTGAAAATGTCCATTTGTTTATGAGTAATGTTGGCTTTTAAGGAGAGTATGATATATCATCTTGGGGATCAATACTGCTCCAGAGACAAAAATAATATCATTAATGCACTAATCTAAGCTATAATGAAAGAAGGTGAAACAAATAACAAATGATAGTGAATGAAATGATATTCCACTTTCTCAAAGAGCTGAGACTACAGTCTCCTATCACCATGGCTGACTAATTTTTGTATTTTTTTGTAGAGACAAGGTTTTACCATGTTTTCAAAGCTTATAAAATAATTTTCATTATATGTGATAATGTAGTATGATCATCATTTAAAAGAAAAACCTTAGAGACATATAAAAAATTTATATGGATAAAACAATATACTTGACATTTGCTTCAGGAGGAAGCTGCTGAATCAAGTGGATGACAACATTTTAGTATTTTGGTTTTTTTTTCTTTTTTTTTTTTGAGACAGAATCTCACTCTGTGGCCAGGCTAGAATGCAATGGCATGCATGATCTCAACTCACTGCAATCTCTGGCTCCCAGGTTCAAGCAATTCTCCTAGCTCAGCCTCCCAGGAGGCTGAAACTATAGCCATGTTCCACCATGCCTAGCTGATTTTTGTATTTTAGTAGAGACGGGATTCGCCATGTTGGCCAGGATGCTCTTGATCTCTTGACTTCATGATCCACCTGCCTTGGCCTACCAAAGTGCTAGGATTATGAGCATGAACCACAACATCTGTCATATTTTGCTTTATATAATTTTTTTTTTTGAGACAGAGTTTCACTGTTGTTGCCCAGGCAGGAGTGCAAGGGTGCGATCCCCGCTCACCACAACCTCTGCCTCCCGGATTAAAACAATTCTCCTGCCTCAGCATCCGAGTAGCTGGGATTACAGGCCTGTGCCACCATGCCTGGCTAATGGTGTATTTTTAGTTGAGATAGGGTTTCTCCATGTTGGTCAGGCTGGTCATGAACTCCTGATCTCAGGCAATCCACCTGTGTCAGCCTCCCAAAGTGCTGGCATTACAGGAACAAGTCACCATGCCCAGCTGCTTTTATATAATTTATAAGTCTTCCAAAAAAAAAAAAAAAACGATATCTTTAGTGATTAAGGAATACAGTGTCTTTCTTCACTGTGACAAATTTTTACATCTTTCTATTTGGATAATAATAGAGAACACTATGACCAAGGATAGGATATTAGTATAGTTTAAATATTAAATATAAAACTATGTGTTCTAAGATACATTTTAGAAGTGCAGTTAGCAAAATGAAGTTTTTATAAAACTTAAAGGATTACCCACCCATAATTTACCTGAACTGTTTCCAAAATCCTCTGCGTACATAGTATTGTAGTCGGGAAGCAGGTAAGTGACCAAAGATGGCCTGAAGGTGTCTGAGGATACCAATATTGTATTCTTTCCTATCTTCTGTCTTACTTAATGCTGGTTTGTCTTCAAATTGATGAGGATTTTCAAATACATCATCTCAGGGATCAACATTACTCTAGACAACAAAAGACATCATTAATGAGCTAATCTAACTTTAATAATATAATGAAAGAAGTTGAAACAAATACAAAAAGTTAGTAAATGAAATGTTGTACATTTTTTTCTTATTTCTTATTCCCAAAGCACTTAATTTTTAATGTTAGTGCCTATTTCACAGATGGGTTGTGATAAAAGATTTCACAGAGAAGTTATCATAAAAGAGTAGTGAGAAAACAAAACAAAAAAACATATATCACAGGTAGTGTAATACAGTAAAGTTTGGTCAAGTAGACAAGGCTAAAGACAAATGAGTGATCTGCCATAAGTAACTGCAGGGGAGTGAGTTACTCAGTCTTCCTAGGATCCAGTGCCTTCTTGTGAAGTTAATCCATTTTCCCAGATTACATGAGACAATTTGTGTAATGTGATCACTGTTACTAAAACCCAAGAAATACAGTTATTAAAGACAGTTGCGGAAGGAACAGGAGCATATACAGAAGCTCCAAAGGTCATAATCTCATTGTGCTTACAGAGCAACATACAGTTGCTTTACAAATATCTGACATGTTTCTAAATGCTTTGTTCTGTATCTGATATTTGTGATACAGACATAAACACTACCCAGTTGTTTTTGTGTGTGTGTGTGTGTGTTCTGTTTTGTTTTTGAGTTCCAGTTCCTGCCTTGGAGAAGCTCACTGTGTAGAAAAGTAACTAGGCAGAGACATGCATGCCACATGTTCAGACAACATAAAACCCAAGCAACCAAACACAAAGGTAGAAGACCTAAGTTGAAATATTACATTCTGTTGGCCTCATTAACTTGTTGCCAGTATGATCAGCCAACCCTATCTGGTTTAAATATAACACCCTACGGGTAATATGGGCTATAAAAGTAGGACTTAAATTCCAATTTCCTTCCAATAGTGGCTCTTAACCTGGTGAACAACCTACATGGAGATTTTACTAAAAATATAGCTACCCAGACGGGAGTGCCTAGATGGTATGATTTATTAGATCCTGAAAGGTAGAAGCAAGTATCTGTAATCTCCAAAAATGATACAATATAATGTGAAACTCAAACTATTTCTGACCACTTAATGGAAGAAATGTACAAACTGGAGAAAAACTATTTACTGCAGTTAAAATATTCTGGTTTCGGGAGGCCGAGGCAGGGGGATCACGAGGTCAAGAGATCAAGACCATCCTGGTCAACATAGTGAAACCCCGTCTCTACTAAAAATGCAAAAAAAAATTAGCTTGGCATGGTGGCATGTGCCTGTAATCCCAGCTACTCAGGAGGCTGAGGCAGGAGAATTGCCTGAACCTGGGAGGCGGAGGTTGCTGTGAGCCGAGGTTGTGCCATTGCACTCCAGCCTGGGTAACAAGAGTGAAACTCTGTCTCAAAAAATATATATATATATTCTGGGTTCTATATTTACTTCCTATTATAATACATGCAAAAGAGTAAAAGATATACACTTTCAGTATAAATATGATCAAAACATTTTTTTCTTTTGAGATGGGAGTCTCATTCTGTCACCCAGGCTGGAGTACAATGGCACAATCTAAGCTCACTGCAACCTCTGCTTCCTGAGTTCAAGTAATTCTCCTGCCTCAACCTCCCAAGCAGCTGGGATTACAGGCACCCACCATCACACCTGGCTAATTTTTAGTAGAATCATGGTTTTACCATTTTGGCCAAGGTGTTCTCAAACTCCTGACCTCAGGAGAGTGGCCCACTTTGGCCTCCCAAAGTGCTGGGATTACAGGCTTGTGCCACTGCACCAAATAAAACCTATAACCAAAAGCCATTAGAATATAAGTTTTTTACTGCCTTATTTTCAACTGGATACTTTTAATAGGCAGTCTGATTGCAGTTGTTAACTAACATTGTTAATAAGTCTAGGAAGCATTACTTCAGAAAAACAAATTTGTTTCCTTAACAGAAAGAGCTCTAATTTGAGAAAAATAGAGAGAATCCTAAAATTAAGTATAGCATATGAAACACAGGCAATAAAAAAATGAAATTAAATAACATTTTAAAAAACAAGACAATGAAAGTATAATTATTAAAAATGAACAGATTCATGATTTTTCAAACAGAATTAAATTTACCAAGTCACACAAAATATGATTATATGAACTATGCTTGGGAGACAAAAAAATAGTGATAAAAATTATCAATGGTAGTTTTTCAAGTCCACTAGATAGCACTGTAACTATCTAATAGTTAGTTACAGACAGAGTAACTCAGAGATTCTAGCCATATCACCAAAATGTACTCCCCAGAAAATTCCATGAAAGTATAGTAATCTCAGGGAAAACAATGGTATCTGCATCAGAATCTTCAAAGAAAACAGTAATTGGTAATCAAAATTTACCTCATTTTCCTGCTTTTCATCCCCTAATATATCATCATCTAAATCACTCCCTGTGCCTTCAGTTGCAAGAATACTGTTCCTGATAGAAGGAATCATGTAGAGCTGCTGGATCACAGAATTCATGTAACAGGTAGCACCAGCATTTTTGAGTCCCACAAATCTTTTTGGTGGACGGGCTCCAACGGGGGCAGATATTCCCACTCAGTAAGTGCTTCTCAAGCTGAGTTAAAAAGAGAAAAGATGATTACATTATGAAAACGACGATTCTGTTCACTGTTTTCTCCTTCAGGCTGACAAATTGGCAACAGCAACATCTCCTTTACTATCACACAGCCACTTTGAAACAGTAATTTAAAATTTTCATACCAACAATGTGAGCCATGATAAAGATCCTTAACTACAGAACTTTTAAGTCCATGTTTTTAAAGACATTGCTTTTCTAACAGTTTTCTTAGAAATAGTCACACAAGATAATGTAACATTGGCCAGCTGCAGTGACTCATGCCTATAATCCCAGCACTTTGGGAAGCCAAGGCTGGCGAATCACCTGAGGTCAGGAGTTTAAGACAAGAGTGACCAACATTCTGAAACCCTCCCTGTCTCTACTAAAAATACAAAAGTTAGCTGAGTGTAGTGACATACAACTACTCGGGAAGCTGAGGCAGGAGAACAGCTTGAACACAGGAGACAAAGGTGCAGTGAGCTGAGATCACACCACTACACTCCAGCCTGTGTGACAGAATCTGTCTCAAAAAAAAAAAAGATCGTATAGCCTTAAAATTTCATTTAGCATTTAGTTAACACTACACACAAGCTTAGCGTTAACCATTATTATTTTATTAATTAAAAATTTCCATCAGGGTGCAGTGGCTCAATCTGCTATCCCAGCACTTTGGGAGGCCGATGCAGGCAGATCACCAGGTCAGGAGATTGACACCATCTTAGCCAATATAGTGAAACCTATTCTCTACTAACCTCTTCTCCACTAAAAATTTTAAAAAATTAGCTGGATGTGGTGGTGCGCACCTGTAGTCCCAGCTACTCAGGAGGCTGAGGCAGGAGAATCACTTGAACCCAGGGGGCAGATGTTACAGTAAGCCGAGATTGCACCACTGCACTTTAGCTGAGTGACACAGTGAGACTCCATCTCAAAAAAAACCAAAAAACCAAATAAACCAGTTCTGTATTTAAGTATATTAAATTCAGTGTGGTCACAAACCCTGTGTAAATAAAATACTACAGTTTTTCTTTGTTTGGTTTTTTCTTTTCTTTTTTGAGATGGAGTCTCCCTCTATGCTCAGGCTGGAGTGCAGTGATAAAATTTCAGCTGACAGCAACCTCCATCTCTCGGGTCCTGGTTCAAACAATTCTGCCTCAGCCTCCCAAGCAGCCAGGAGTACAGGTGGGCACCATAACGCCTAGCTAATTTTTAAATTGTTAGTAGAGGCAGGGTTTCACCATACTGGCCAGGCTAGTCTTAACTCCTGACCTTGTGATGGGCTCTCTTTGGCCTCCCAAAGTGCTGGGATTACAGGCATGAGCCAGTACCACAATTTTCTCACTTTTAATTGTATGTAAGACCATTCTGGGTCAAGTCTTGGTTCTGACTCATAAAAGGTATAACCTTCACATAAATATCTATTTCTTTCCTTAGTAAATAGTCATAATTGCTTTGCCCATATCCAGTTTTATTGTGACATAAACTCAATGAGATGGTGTAACTGAAATCACTGTGACAAGTATAAATTTCTCTCTACCTTACATAAAACCAAAAACAACTTACAATTAATCACCACCATAGAGATTAATAACATAAATTGGAGCACACTGAACTGCAAGTTTTGTAGCTAAAAAACAGAATTACACAAACCTTGAAGTGCTGACAGATGGGTTACGAAGTACAACACAAGGTTAATACTGTATTTTGTACATTATTATTTTTACAAAAACAAACAAATAGCTGTACATGCAGACATATACACAGAGATAGTCTCTGGATTGAAAAACGTAAAATTAGGAGGAAGTTATTAATTGTTAGCATGTATCCTTTTATATTTGAAAACACTTATTTACCCGCTATAAACATTATCTAAATTAACAACAAAGTCTTTCTAAAATAGAAACTGTTTTTGAACATACATACTTACTACATAAATACTTTACCTAATAAGCTAATGAAAGAAGTGTTTTTTAAAAAGAAACTTTACTCTGTGCAGATTCAATGGGAAAAATAAAGATCTGTCATTTTAAGCAGAGAGTTTAGCTAGAAACTCCTACAATGTAATTCAAAATATCCTCACCCAGAGAAAGACAAAAGAAAGATAAATTCACATTTATTAATTTAAAATATATCATGAATGCTGTGCTAATTATATTCTTAGCCAGGCATAAGATAATTATATTCTTACAGGCACATGCCTGTAATCCGAGCACTTTGGGAACCGTGGTCAGAAGATCACCTGAGGTCAGGAGTTCAAGACCAGCTTGGCCAACATGGCAAAACCCTGTCTCGTCTGAAAATACAAAAAATGTTAGCCAGGTGTGGTGGCATATGCCTGTAATCCCAGCTACTCAGGAGGCTAAGGAAAAAGAATCACTCGAACCTGGGAGGTGGAGATTGCAGTGAGCCGAAATACCACCACTGTACTCCAGCCTGTGCGATGGGAGCAAAACTCCATCTCCAAAAATATATATGTATGTGTGTGTGCGCGTATATACTCACACAAATATATATAAACACACATATATATTCCTAAGCCTTGGTTTTTCCTTGAAACGAACAATTTTATGTTACTATGTGTTATATTATACCACCTAGCACTCTGAGTTTCAGTTCTGTGTAAGACTTGAACATAGCTGCCCACTTTGTGGGACTGATGTGAACATTTACAGCTTACTACTATGCACTCAAATGTTCTCTTCTCACATTGTGATCTTTAAAACCAAACCTTTGTAATAATTCAAATAACATTAAGCAACTTCATTGTTTGGATTACAACAATCTTTACAATGCATATATTTTAAATATAAACTCTCTATGGCATTAAATTTGGCTTATTCTTTTATTTTATTTTATTTTATTTTTTTGAGACTGAGTTTCATTCTTGTTACCAAGGCTGGAGTGCAATGGCGCGATCTCGGCTCATCGCAAGCTCGTCCTCCTGGGTTCAGGCAATTCTCCTGCCTCAGCCTCCCGAGTAGCTGGGATTACAGGCACGTGCCACGTGCCCAGCTAATTTTTTGTATTTTTAGTAGAGACGGGGTTTCACCATGTTGATCAGGATGGTCTCGATCTCTTGACCTCGTGATCCACCGCGCCCGGCCAAATTTGGCTTATTCTTACTCTGAAGTTTCGGTTTTCTTTCACATGATCAAATAAAACTCACCTAAACCAACACTAGGGGAGCATTTAAAAGACACATTTAAATTTTTTTTGAATTAATGTTCTCTGATTAAAATGGTTTTAATTATATACCTGATGGCTAAAAAACATTAAACTCAATGGATCAAAAAAATCCATCACAAGTTAATTTTTTCTAAATTTTCTTATTAACAAAATAAAATTTTAAACTTAAGTATTAACAAAGAAAAACAGCTTTATAATTTAAAATACTCACTAGTTATTGCTGTGCCTATGTAATACATTTCGGTAAAACAGTCTACAATCTGTTTGAGATTCCTTACACAGCCAATAGCTAATGCTACAAGTAGCTTGAAGACAGCATTGATGGTAGCAGGTGAACTACACTGGAACAGCCTGCTCAGCTGGCAATTCTCCACTTCTTATACACTGCAGATAAATTTTGGATGCAGGAAAGATGAAATCATCAATTAATTCCTAGTAAGTTAGAAAAAGACATCACATGTTATTAGTAGAAAATACAGTTTGGAAAAAATGTCTCTCCAAAGGAAAAAATAATTTGATATAATTAAACATCTCATTATATCTCAAATCAGAATCCTAAAAAAAACCACCTGACTACAATTAATAAATGTAATCAGTTTTCCAGATAAGATTATTTTCCCCCCTGAGATGGAGCCTCGCTCTACCACCCAGGCTGGAGTGCAGTGGCACATTCTTGGCGTAGTACAACCTCCGCCTCCCAGGTTCAAGCAATTCTCCTGCCTCAGCCTCCTGAGTAGCTGACCATTACAGGTACCCACCCCCATACCCAGGTAATTTTTGTATATTTAGTAGAGATAGGGTTTCACCATGTTGGCAAAGCTGGCCTGAAACTCCTGACTTCAGGTGATCTGCCTACCTCAACTTCCTGAAGTGCTGGGATTACAGGGCAGAGTGATTTAAACAATTATATCCCAGAAAAGTGACATTCTAAATAAATTTACTTTTTAACTCAGATATAAACAGAAACAAATTCATTTCAAATATCAACAAGAATGCATGAAAATTATATTCTTTTCCTTGAATTACAAGACACATAAAGAAACTCATCAATAAATATATAAATCATACAGTTTCCCAAGATGGAAATTTTTCTTATTTAGAAATTCAGTCAAGAGGCCGGGTGCCATGGCTCATGCCTGTAATCTCAGCACTTTGGGAGGCCCAATCACCTGAGGTCAGTAGTTCCAGACCAGTCTGACTAACATGGAGAAACCTAACCTCTACTAAAAATACAAAATTAGCCGGCCGTGGTGGCACATGCCTGTAATTCCAGCTACTCCAGAGGCTGAGGCAGGAGAATTGCTTGAACCTGGGAGGTGGAGGTTGAAGAATACTAATATGAAGCCCAAAGCTATACACTTCAGAAATATACTCTCACAGAACTCCATGGAAGAGATCAGATGGTTCAATGCAAATACCAATCTCTCAAATACGATTTTCTGAAGTCTTCAAATATGGTAATTTACAAAAAAAGGACAAGAAATACCAAAGTGAAAGAAACAAAATTATCAGCATTCCAAGAAAAGACATACTGAACAAAACTAGCTATGTTTTTTTCTACAAATGTAAGATGCCAATTCACCAATGAAAAGTACACATTTTGTTTGTATTTATTCTAAGAGGCATTTTGAGAATTTACTCAGTCAAGTTCTCAAATAAAAATAGAGGTTAAATAAAAGTCTATAAATCTCCTTTAAATAAGACAGCTGATTTGATCATAATATAATAAACTAAATACTGTTCAACTTACCCTAATCCTTTTGAGCCAATCAATTTCATTGACAAGAAGAATTTCAGCATTGGGTATGTTAGTATTGCCATTGTAAGCATAATTGAGAAGGTACCCTAAGTGTGAAATAATCACTGGAATATTTACTCCTCTCTCTTGCTATGGTCTGAAATATTAAAGTTAAAAAAAAAAAATTTACAAGTTACACTCAGAGTCCATGTAATTTTTTTAAACACGAAAAAATGAAAATTAATTGGCACTACTTCATAGCAATGACAAAAGCAACAAGCTGATTGACTTTAACTTTTCCAACAAGTACTATATTTTTCCCAAGAACTGTAAAACGACAAAATGCCACTGTACAAATAGTAAAGAATTATAATACTGCATTTATTAATTATGCCTGTTCTAAATATAATAAAAACTATAGTACAAATTTTCTGAATGTTTCTCATGTTAAGAATGCATTATGGCCGGGCGCGGTGGCTCACGCCTGTAATCCCAGCACTTTGGGAGGCCGAGGCGGGTGGATCATGAGGTCGAGAGATCGAGACCATCCTGGTCAACATGGTGAAACCCCGTCTCTACTAAAAATACAAAAAAATTAGCTGGGCTTGGTGGAGCGTGCCTGTAATCCCAGCTACTCGGGAGGCTGAGGCAGGAGAATTGCCTGAACCCAGGAGGCGGAGGTTGCGGTGAGCCGAGATCGCGCCATTGCACTCCAGCCTGGGTAACAAGAGCAAAACTCCATCTGAAAAAAAAAAAAAAAAATGCGTTATATTGACAGGTTCATTTAATTGACAGGTGAAAACGTCTCACCCCCAATACGGTAAAGAGTAGAGTAATGAAGAAAAGCAGAGGCCTGTGTCCCATGCAACATCTGGTGCACATTAAAAAGAACTGCTCCTGTGCCAACTGACGAACAGTTCTGAAATAAAAACATAACATGTTTAATGTATTTCGTGAATATCAACAAAATAATTCCAACACTCCTTTTTAATAGGGGGTATACATCAATAGTAAAATAACAGGTAACCCCCACTTTAGCATTTGGCTAGCAACACGAAACAAATTGATTTAAAATATTTGTCAGGGAGCTAACCTTCAAACTGCCATCTAATAGGCTGAGAGTATTATTACTTACTGTTCAAGTTTCTTAAAGTGTGACTTCTTAGACCTTCTAATACTCACTATGAATCAGGGGTTGGGGTGGATCATGTCAAACAAAGGTAACCATCACTCAATAAAATACAAGCCTCTTATTTGCAGGACATATTTTTAACAACCTCTTGAAAATGTCTTGAAGCACCCTCTAGATACTATAAGGTGCTATAGAAGCATTAAGCTTCTATTTATCTATTTTAGCCTCCCCAGAATCATTTTCAGTGAAAAGTATATTGGAGCAAACAACTCAAGGAAATGTAACATAGCTAAAGCTTTGTCTGATTGTATCAAACATTCTCAAATGTGATTATCAGACCAACAGCATTAATATCATTTGAGAACCTGTAAGACATACAAATTCTGAGATTCCATTCCATACTTGCTGAGTTCATTAACTCTGGAAGAGAAACCCAGAATCTATATTTTAATAAACCATGCCAATCATTCTTGATGTGTACCAAAGTTTCATTACTTTGAAGCTGTTTGGTTGTTGTGAGACCGAGTTTCACTCTTTTGCCCAGGGTGGAGTGCAATGGTGCGATCTCAGCTCAGTGCAACCTCCAACTTCCAGTTTCAAGCAATTCTCCTGCCTCAGCCTCCTGTGTAGCTGGGACTAAAGGCGCATGCCAGCTAACTTTTAGTATTTTTAGTAGAGATGGGGTTTCACCCCGTTAGCCAGGATGATCACAATATCGTGACCTCAAATCTGCCTGCTTCAGCCTCCCAAAGTGCTAGGATTACAGGCATGAGCCACGACGCCTGGCCCAGACTCTTTATTTTAATAAGCCATGCTGATCATCCTGATGTGTACCAAAGTCTGATTACATCAAAACAGTATTATACTGCATTGGATTTCTCTTTGAGAAGCAATAAAAAATCTGTAACCTGTAACCTACATATTTGGAATTTAATCTGATTATTTTGTATATGTTCATATATATATATATTTATATCTCCATATTATTTCATACATTGTGTGTGTGTGTTTTAAAATGGTGTACAATGATCTTTGCAAACCAAACATTCCAGAAGTATTCATTCATTTACACAGGTTAGTGCCAAGACCCTACAACCTACATCAGAGGAGTTGCTCAATAAACATTTACCAAAGTTGTAAATATCACTTATTTCTTTACAACTAGGAGATCTGTTATGTTTCATTAGAAAATGAAAATATAAATTCTCAGACTTAGAAAATTACTGGCACTGTAATGGTAAAATGTAGTCATCCTAATCAGTATTAAATGTAGCTAATCCATAATCCAAAACTGCCTCAGTGAAAATGGTTTTACAAATACACCAAACAGTGTCAGCACTTTGAAAAATCAGTGAGTCAAGCACAGACTGCAATAAATATACCTCTCTAGCTACAGTTTTGGCCTGAATAACTTGGTTTCTACAAATAATGCCAGAACACATACACCAGTTAAAGTCTGCCATTTCCTCAATTTCACACTCTCTCCTTTCTTCCAAGAATGTGCCTAATCAGCATAGCTCTCCCTTAGTAAATTAAGCAAAAAAAAAAATAATAATAAATTTTGTCTTTTTATCTTAGGTATTGAGTATCTATCCATTTATCTAGAAAAAAGCAACTTCTTTATGAGTAGGACTTCTGCTTTGTGGATATGTCTCTAACAACAGGAATAGAGCCCACATTTCCGGTACTAAATGATAACTGAGCATTATAAATGTGGTTAACCACCATGTGCTACTAGCTGCTGAAGTTCTGCAACTTTGTGATTCAAACGTAAAGAATTTTACATTGTATGAATTAACCTCCCTCTTGGATTTATCTTAACATTTACAGATTTTTTTCCTATTACATCAATTTTTTCATTCATTTATTTTCATTTTCTTTTTGAGATGGAGTTTAGCTCTTGTTACCCAGGCTGGAGTGCAATGGCGCCATCTCGGCTCACCGCAACCTCCGCCTACTGGGTTCAGGCAATTCTCCTGCCTCAGCCTCCCGAGTAGCTGGGATTACAGACACGCGCCACCGTGCCCAGCTAATTTTTTGTATTTTTAGTAGAGACGGGGTTTCACCATGTTGACCAGGATGGTCTCGATCCGTTGACCAGGATGGTCTCGATCCCTTGACCTCGTGATCCACCCGCCTCGGCCTCCCAAAGTGCTGGGATTACAGGCTTGAGCCACCGCGCCCAGCCCTATTTTCATTTTCTGTTACTGTCTACCCTGATTTTTTGTGGATGTATTTATTTATTTTTGAGACAGAGTTTCGCTCTTGTCACCCAGGCTGGAGTGCAATGGCGCCATCTCGGCTCACCGCAACCTCCGCCTCCTGGGTTCAGGCAATTCTCCTGCCTCAGCCTCCCGAGTAGCTGGGATTACAGGCACGCGCCACCATGCCCTGCTAATTTTTTTGTATTTTTACTAGAGACGAGGTTTCACCATGTTAACCAGGATGGTCTCGATCTTTTGACCTGGTGATTTACCCGCCTCGGCCTCCCAAAGTGCTGGGATTACAGGCTTGAGCTACCGCACCCGGCCCAGATGTATTTATTTTTTATTCTTTTTTTTTTTGAAAAGGAGTTTCGCTCCTTACCCAGGCTGGAGTGCAATGGCGCAACCTGGGCTCACTGCAACCTCCGCCTCCTGCGTTCAGGCAATTCTCCTGCCTTAGCCCCCTGAGTAGCTGGGATTACAGGTATGCGCCACCATGGCCAGCTAATTTTTTTGCATCTTTAGTAGAAATGGGGTTTCACCATGTTGACTAGGATGGTCTTGATCTCTTGACTTTGTGATCCACCCGCCTCGGCCTCCCAAAGGGCGGGGATTACATGCTTGAGCCACGGTGCCCGGTCTATTTTTTATTCTTTTAGAACAAGGCAAGAGCATAAAAAATAAAATTAATTGAAGAAGCTCATCTTACAATCTTCTTATTTTCCAAAATAACAGAAGGTACTGGCTGGGCGCAGTCGCTCACGCCTGTGATCAGAGCATTTTGGGATGCCGAGGCGGGCAGATCTGAGGTCAGGAGATCGAGACCATCCCGGCCAACACGGTGAAACCCCGTCTCTACTAAAAATATTTTTTAAATTAGCTGGGTGGGCCGGGCGCGGTGGCTCAAGCCTGTAATCCCAGCACTTTGGGAGGCCGAGGCGGGTGGATCACGAGGTCAACAGATCGAGACCATCCTGGTCAACATGGTGAAACCCCGTCTCTACTAAAAATTACAAAAAGTTAGCTGGGCACGGTGGCGCGTGCCTGTAATCCCAGCTACTCAGGAGGCTGAGGCAGGAGAATTGCCTGAACCCAGTGGGCGGAGGTTGCGGTGAGCCGAGATGGCGCCATTGCACTCCAGCCTGGGTAACAAGAGCGAAACTCCGTCTCAAAAAAAAAAAAAAAAAAAAAAAAAAAAAATTAGCTGGGTGTAGTGGCACGCGCCTGTGGTCCCAGCTACTCGGGAGCCTGAGGCAGAAGAATCGCTTGAACCCAAGAAGCGGAGGTTGCAGTGAGTGGGCCAAGATCTCAAAATAATAATAATAATAATAGAAGGTACTTCATAAAACTACTAAAAAACTTCAATAAAATTAGTTGAAGAAGTGCATCTTACAATATTTTATGAAATACTTTTCTTAAGGCCCGGCGCAGTGGCTCAAGCATGTAATCCCAGCACTTTGGGAGGCCAGTGGCTCCCAGTGGCTCCAGCACTTTGGGAGGCCAATGTGGGTGGATCACGAGGTCAACAGATCGAGACCATCCTGGTCAACATGGTGAAACCCCATCTCTACTAATAATACAAAAATTAGCTGGGCATGGTGGCACGTGCCTGTAATCCCAGCTACTCGGGAGGCTAAGGCAGGAGAATTGCCTGAACCCAGGAGGCGGAGGTTGCGGTGAGCCGAGATCGTGCCATTGCACTCCAGCCTGGGTAACAAGGATGAAACTCCATCTCAAAGAACAATAAATACTTTTCTTAAATAGAAGAAGGTACTTGACCATTAATTGTACTAAAAACTTAGAATAAAGCAAAAATTGTCTAATCCCGACGATTCTCCTTGAAAACCTGCTTTTCCTTTAGGTTTCTTATTGGAATCTCTTAGCAACTTTCAGGTCGTGACATTGAAAGACACTATGCTTAATATGGTGTGCAAATGCAAGTGTGCAGGTATATTACTCATGCCTTCCAACTGCAGTCAACATAAGTTTTCCCAAAATGCCATTGACTGAGCTCTCTCCCTCGGTACCCCAGAAACAAAGGCTGCCTAGTGTTTCATTTTGCTATATTTTACAGAAATACTTAAAACCAATGGGAAGAGAAGGGGAGAAAAAGGAATTATATAAACTTTTATAATAATAAACTAAAGTGACTTCACTTTACTGACATTTACCCAAACTTTAATCAACTGAACTTTTCAAGGGCTTGTAGAAGTCCCTCTGATTTATGAAATCCACAGATCTGGCTCAGAAATCTTCAAACTGTAGTATCAAAGAGTTCCACATGTATGCCTTTCTTCACAATTTTCTGGCCAGACAGTCCAACTCTGTTAAATTCCTAAAGGTTTTAAGACTAGTTAGGATATTTAGCAGAATTTTCAGCCTCACGCTACTAGATGGCAGTAAGAACCTTACCAATCCCAGTTCCAGTTATGAATCAGGTTTAGAGTAAAATCTAAAGTAATATCTACTGACCTATATAAAACCCCAGACAATCAGATGGACTGTCTGTTATCTCTATGAGTTCATCATTTATAATTCTTGTCGTTTTTCATCCTGCTTCAGCCACACCAACCTTGCTATTTTTCTGATAGCAGGCTTATACCAGGAATCTTCCTACTTGCTGATCCTGCTGTATAATACTTACATGATTATTCCCTTACTCTTTCATTTAAATATTTACTTCAAAGTCACCTTGGCAGCAAAGTGCTTTGTGACTGTACTATGTAAAACCAAACTGTATAATGAAGAATCCTGTCTCATGCATTTTGTATGTAATCAATAATCTGACTTTAAAAACAAACCAAAAGACTTCATGCCATATCCACTAAAACAAAAACCTAACAACTAGGAACCCAAATTAGGAAGTTAACATACTATTTAAGTATTTTAATAAAAAATTTTACAGGACAAAACATATATCTTCTAAATAAAAATGAACTCTGAAGTAATAAAAAAAATCAGGACTTCAAAAATTACACTGAAAGCAAACTACAGGATAAACACTTTTGAACCCTCCAAAAAAATATACCAATCAAAAACTGACAAGACTCTGGAAACCAACAGTTTATATCAACCAAGCAAACACTGAACCAAGAGAGAGACAATTTTTTAAATCATAGAAAGTCTTGTGGTATTGCCATACCACCTCTCTGGTGTAGCTGAAACCTTCAAAACTGCAATTCACATTCTCAAAGTAAGGCCCTGATCCTGATTCTGGAAGGAGTAAAGAACACTCTACATGCCAATTTATTGTGTTTTTTTTTTTTCTACTCTGTCTGTGGGTTACATAAAGAATTGTTGAAATATATCTATCTCTGTTTTGCCTAACTCAGAACTCACTCATGACTGAAAATGTCAGGCACTGGTCACAAACATTTAAGTTGCTGACAGCCAAAGATACGGTTAACCCATAAAATAGACAACCTAAGAAAGTGGGCAATAGTTGCAGAGATCTTTCTTTTGGAGAAATGAGAATATTCAAAAGCACATACTCTCATGCACATACTCATGAGAGGAAACACTCTCAAAAAACATGTAAAACTCTTAAGTGTTAGCCCTCAGGTTCGTCTACAGCTTCAGTGTCAGAAAAGACTGAAGGCTAAGACAGAATTATAAACAGTATTAAAGGTGTTTTAATAAAGATCCTGTTTAAAAACTAATAGTTTTCATATTACACTTAGTCAAAACACTGGTGCTATACAAGCTAAACCTTCAATAACTAAGAATTCACCTTGGAGAAATAAAATTTCCAGAGTTAACACATTGTAACATTTCAAATATCATTCTCTACAAAAAATAAAAAAGAAGAAGAAGAAAAAAAAAGCGTAAAAATAAAAGAAAAAGTATGGCCAAGGTGAAGTGAAAAACAGAAACTGAAAATGTCTTAAACTTTATGCACAAACACTGTTTAAAAAAAAACAAAAAAACAGAAAACCAGTTTTGGCCTGGCATGGTGACTGACACCTGTAATCCCAGCACTTTGGGTGCTTAGGTAGGCGGATGATGACATCAGAAGATCAAGACAATCCTGGCTAACAAAGTGAAATCCCGTCTCTACTAAAAATAACATTACCCAGGTATGGTGGCATGTGCCTGTAGACCCAGCTACTCAAGGAGGCTGAGGTAGGACAATCACTTGAGGAGGAGGTTGCGGTGAGCCAAGATCGCACACACCACTGCACTCCAGCCTAGGCAACAAGAGTGAAACTCCATCTCAAAAAAAAAAAATAAAAAAATAAATTAATGAGTAATTAGAATACCATGAAGCAGACCAATGTATGCAATATGGGTTTCCCATACGGGAGAAAAAGAGCAGAAAGAATATCCGAAGAAATAAATGGCTGAAAATTCCCCAAACTTGATGAAATACCTGAATGTCCAAATTCAAGAAGGGTAAAAATTTTAACAAGAGTATGGTCAAAGACAGTCAGCCCTATTAAGAAAATTATAGTCAGTCAAGAGCCAAGATAAGAAAATTGTAACAACAGAAAGGGAGAAGCAATTTATCATGTAGAAGGGAAACTTAATAACAGAAGCCAGGAATGGTGGCTGATATCTGTAATTCCAGCACTTTGGAAGGCCGAGGAAGGAAGGCAGATAATGAGATCAGGAGATCAACACCATTCTGGCCAACATGGTGAAAACCTCTCTCTAGTAAAAATACAAAAATTAGCTGGACATGGTAGCCTGTGCCTATAATCCAGCTCTGCGTGAGGCTGAGGCAGAAAACTCCCTTGAACCAGGGAGTTGGAGGTTGTAGTGAACAGAGATTGTGCCACTGCATTCCAGCCTAGCAAGAGAATGAGACTGCATCTCAACAACAAAAAAGATTAACAACAGATAGCTCAAAAAAGCATGGAAAATATGGGACCCATATGTAGAAAGGAGTACTGATTAACAACAGACAGCTCACAAACCATGGACAACACGGAAGCCAGAGGCAGTAGTACAACAAAGTATTAATAGAAATAAGCTATCAAATAAGAAATCCGTATCTGGCAAAATGATATTTCAAGCAAAAAAGCCTAGATATGGAAAAGCAAAGGGAATTCTGTTACCAGTCCTGCTCTACAGGATTGCTAGAAGTCATCAAATTAAATTAAAAGGATATTTGACAGTAATTTTCAACTATAGAAAGAATTGACACTATAAAGAAAACTGCTATTACTATTATAACACTGGCAAAGGTAACTATTACTATTGTACTTCTGGTAGGTAACTATTACATAAAACAATTACAAATTTATTTTAATGGACACTCAGTGTGTACACATATAATCTGTCACAATAATATAGATTAGGAAGGATGGAAAACTACAAAAGCAGCATATTTATATACTGTAAAACTAAAGTTTGTATTATTCAAACAAGTTAGTATTATTCGAGGTAGGCTATTTTAAATTTAGGCTACTACCTGAAGTCCCAGATATAACTAATAAGAAATATAAAAACACAGAAAAGGAAATAAGCAAATATTTAAAACACCAACCAAAATTTTAAAACAAGCAATGGAAGAAATAAGGATCAAATAATATAGAGAATACATAGAAAACAAATAGGTAAATGTCATAGTAAGCCATTCCTTACTTATAATAACTTTAAATGTAAGCTCCTACATGAAAAGGCACAAACAAAATGCACTTTAAAAAAACTGATTCATCTATATATTTACACAAGTCTCACTTTAGATATAAATACACATAGGTTAAAAGTAAGAGGATACCAGTAAAATAGTGGATACTATAAAAAACTTTATGAATACTTTCATTTAGTTTAAGAAGCCTATTATTTCATCATCCATACTACTCTTTGTGATGTGGTTTGGGCTAAAGGAAAAGGCGCCACTTGAAACACCATTGGTGCTGGAGACACATACTAAAGGCCTGGTGTTTCAGGTGTTTTGGACTGCAGCTTTCACCCAGGACTTCGAATTAAGGAGCTTGCCTCCTATAATACAGTTCTGCTTGAAGAATCCAAAGTCCTTGTGCATTGTAATGTGAAGATGGAGTTGGAATAGGCCAATAAGAGTGTAATGGCTGAAGAAAATCTGGGGCTTAGCACAAGGGATAGAATCCATGTTAAAGTATGTGCAGAAGGAAATCAGAACTGGGCTGAGAAGAATACATCATTAGCTGCAAGATACCCTAAATGCAACCTCATAGCCCGAAACAGGTTCAACACATAGGTAGTACTTCGAGGCAAAACTGGAAATACCCAAGCTATTTATTTAATATTAGCAAGGCATTTTTAGGCACTTTAACGTTAAAATCAATAATGACAAAGCTTTTTTGCCCAAATGTCATTATTTTAAGTACATACATACCCAAATATAAAAGCATACTGGTGAGTACTAGACTGTTCTTGGAAGCTCTAATTTTTATCTATGGTGAGTACTATAGAAAAGACCAGAATGGTGTTATATTAGTTTTGGATGACAGAAAAGTCTGGATTTGTCTTTCTTATTTTTTCCTCCAAGAATGCAGAATCTAAATGGGTATGAAGCAGCCTCTGCTCCCCTCCCCCAAATAGAGACAGAGAAACATCTGAGAGGCCGCCTTTGTCTTTATGAAGATGCAAATACCTCAGAGATAGAATATTCTAAATCAAAAGACTTACTTCTTAGAACAAATATTTCTGATTTAAAAAAATCCACTGAAGAGGCAGGTACAGTGGCTAACACCCATAATCCTAGCACTTTGGGAGGCTAAGTGTAGGAAATAAGAATAAATAAAAGGTTCCTCTTCAAAGCTTTCCTCTTGGTTTATTAAGAATAAATAATAGTTTCTTCAAAGGTTCATTTATTTAAAGCTTTTGTTAATAATTTTAAAGTAGTTATTAGTGATAATAAGAAAATAAGTGCATTCTGTGTTCTTGGTTCTTACATTTTAACCTAGGTATTTACCCTGACATGCCCGGACAAGCCCCAGCAACTCTTAGGTCAAAGCTTATTGCCCTTCCTTATTTGGAAAAGTTATCACTTCTGTAAGCATTCCTCGGGTTACTTCTTCTTTCTTTTGTTCTCCTCTGCCTTTACTTCTTTAGGCAACAATATACATGCAAAAATCATCAATAAAATGTTAGCAACAAATCCAGTAGCATATTAAAAGTATGAGGTACCATGGCAAAGTGTGGGCCTTTTCTTTTTCTTTGAGACAGAGTCTTGTTCTGTCACTGAGGCTGGATTGCACAATCTTGGCTCATTGCCTCCTGGGTTCAAGCAGTTCTCCTGCTTCAGTCTCCTGATAGCTGGCATTACAGGTGTTCGCCATCACACCAGCTAATTTTTGTGTTTTTAGTGGAGATGGGGTTTCCTCATGTTGTCCAGTCTGGTCTCCAACTCCTGACCTCAGGTGATCTGCCCACCTCAGCCTAAAAAAATGGTGATATTAACTGGCATGAGTCACCACACCTGGCTCGAAGTGTGGAATTTGTCAAGAATATAAGGGTGCTTAAATATATTAATTTAATTTTAATATATTGTCAGAAGCCTCTGAAGCAGACCAATTTCATCTTCAATAGAGGCTGGGTAAAATAAGGCTGCATTCCCAGTCAGTTAGGCATTCTAAGTCAAAGGATGAGACAGGAGGTTGGCACAACATACAGATCATAAAGACCTTGCTGATGAAACATTTTGCAGTACAGAAGCCAATGAAGCCGCAACAAAACCAAGACACCAATGAGAGTGACCTCTGGTCATCCTCACTGCTGCAGTTCCACCAGCACTGAGATAGTTTACAAACACCATGGCAATGTCAGGAAGTTACCCTTATGTTATAAAAATGGGAGGCAAGAATAACCCACCCCTAGTTTTGTGTATATTCACAAATAATCATATAAATGGGTAACCAGCAGCCCTCGGGGGTGCTCTGCCTACTGAATAGCCTTTTTAGTTTTATTCGTCTATTAATAAACTTGTTTTTACTTTATGGACTCGCCCTGAATTCTTTCTTCCATAAGATCCAAGAGCCCTCACTTATGATCTGAATCAGGAAGGGTAAAAATATCATCAGAAATACAACCAAAAAAATAACATGGTTGAGTTTTTTCAAGAAGATGGCAAGGTAGGAGCAACTCAGGATTGCAGCTCTCAGTGAAGACACAGAGGGTGAGTCCAAGCTGCATTTCCAGACAGATCTTTGTTGGCCACAGAACAGGGAAATTCCCAGATGTTGGAGAGACACGGGATGCCAGTGCAGCTGTTTCGGCTGGTGCAGCCGTTTCGGCCGGCACCACAGCACAGCGGCACCCCACAAAAAACTCACTGGTCTGGGTGCCCTGCTAAATGGGCAATCTGAGATTTGGGAGGGCAGATTAGCATATCCATCTGATTAAATGGAACTTGGACACTGAGCCAAACCAGGAGATTCCCGGGAAACGACATTTGAGCCGGCACAGTGGGTCGCTGCATGGGAAATCACACAGATCCCAGTGCCCTATCAGCAGGCAACTGAAACACCTGGGAGAAACTCAACTGTTCAACTTAAAAAAAAAAAAAAAAGGGGGCTCTGAGGCAGGGAGCCAGGTGATCAGCCTCGGCGGGTCCCACCCCACAGGGAAAAACAAAACGGTGATTCAAAACGCTCTGGGTTGAGAGTTTCTCTGCCGGCACAGCTGAACCCAGAACAGTGCAGCTCGGTGGGGGAGGGGCGTCCGCCATTACCGAGGCATTCCGCCCCTACTGAGGTACACTCCCATTGCTGACACAGCCTGCCGTTGCCAAGGCAACCCGCCATAACAGAGACTCCGCCAACAGGGCGGAGCCCACGGCAACAGGGCGGAGCCTCGGCAGGCAAACAGTGACTAGACTGCCTCCTAGATGGACAGGACAGTGCAATGGACACTCATAAAGAAAGCCCTAACTCCCCGAGACAGAGCATCTGAGGAAAAAAAGGGATTTTATGAGTTCTGCTGCAGCAGACTTAAACATACCTGCCTAACATCCCTGAATGATCAATGGAGCTCACAGCTCAGCACTTGAGCTCCTATAAAGTACAGACCGCCTCCTCAAGCAGCTCCCTGACCCCTGTATATCCAAAGAATCACCTCAAAAAGGACTGATCAGACTGACAGTTGGCAGGCATCATTCTGGGACAAAGATAACAGAAAAAGAAACTGGTAGCATCCCTCACTGTTCTGCAGCTGCTACAGGTGTACCCCAGACAAGCAGGGCCTGGAGTGGACCTCAGCAGTTGTACAGAACAGGGGCCAGACTGTTAGAAGGAAAACTAAGAAACAGAAATACTTCTTCATCAATAATCTGGATGTCCACTCAGACACCCAATCGGAAAATCAGCAACCACTCAGACAACAGGTGGATAAATCCACAAAGATGGGAAGAAACCAGCGCAAAAAGGAGGAAAACACCTGAAACCAGAACACCTCCCCTCCTACAAAGGACCAGAACTCCTCACCAGCAAGGGAACAAAGCTGGACGGAGAATGACTGTGATGAAATGACGGAATCAGACTTCAGAAGGTGGGTAATGAGAAACTTCTGTGAGCTAAAAGAACATGTTCTAAATCAATGCAAAGAAAGTAAGAACCTTGAAAAAAGATTTGAGGAAATGGTAACAAAAATGGAAAACTTAGAGAGAAATATGAATCAATTGAAGGAGCTGAAAAACACAACACGAGAACTTCGCAAAGCATGCACACGTTTCAACAGCTGAATTGACCAAGCAGAAGAAAGCATATCAGAAGTTAAAGATCAACTCAATGAAATAAAATGAGAAGGCAAGATTAGAGAAAAAAGCACAAAAAGGAATGAACAAAGTCTCCAAGAAATGTGGGACTATGTGAAGAGACCTTTGATAGGTGTACCTGAATGCGATAAAGAGAATGAATCCAAGCTGGAAAATACTCTTCAGGATATTATTCAGGGGATAAAATGTCCCCAACCTAGCAAGGCAGGCCAATATTCAAGTGGAGGAAATACAGAGAACACCACAAAGATATTCCACAAGAAGAGCAACTCCAAGGCACGTAATTGTCAGATTCACCAGGGTTGAAATAAAGGAGAAAATGCTAAGGGCAGCCACAGAGAAAGCTTGGGGCAGCCACAGAGAAAGGTTGGGTCACCCACAAAGGGAAGCCAATCAGACTCACAGCAGATCTCTCGGCAGAAACCCTATAAGCCGGAAGAGAGTGGGGGCCAATATTCAACATCCTTAAAGAAAAGAACTTTCAACCCAGAATTTCATATCCAGCCAAACCGAGCTTCATGAGTGAAGGAAAAATAAAATCCTTTGCGAACAAGCAACTACTCAGAGATTTTTGTCACCACCAGGCCTGCTTTACAAGAGCTCCTGAAAGAGGCACTATACATAGAAAGGAGCAACCAGTACCACGCATTCCAAAAACATACCCAATGCTAAAGAGCATCAACAAAAATGAAGAATCTGCATCAACTAACGGGCAAATCAGCCAGCTAGCATCAAAATGGCGGTACCAAATTCACACATAACAATATTAACCCTAAATGTAAATGGGCTAAATGCACCAATCAAAAGACACAGACTGGCAAATTGGATAAAAACCAAAACCCATCGGTGTGCTGTATCCAGGAAACCCATCTCACAGGCAAAGATATACAAAGGCTCAAAATAAAGGGATGGAGGAAGATTTACCAAGCAAATGGAGAGCAAAAAAAAGCAGGAGTTGCAATTCTCGTCTCTGATAAAATAGACTTTAAAGCAACAAAGATCAAAAGAGACAAAGAAGGACATTACATAATCGTAAAAGGATCGATACAACAAGAAGAGCTAACAGTTCTAAATATATATGGACCCAATACAGGAGCACCCAGATACATAAGGCAAGTTCTTAACAACTAACAAAGAGACTTAGACTCCCACACAATAGTGAGACTTTAACACTCCACTGTCAATATTAGACAGATTGACCAGACAGAAAATTAACAAGGATATCCAGGACTTGAACTCAGACCTGGAACAAGCAAACCTGATAGACATTTACAGAATTCTCCACCCCAAATCCACAGAATATACATTTGTCTCAGAACCTACTCTGAAATTGACCACATAATTGGAAGTCAAGCACTCCTCAGCAAATGCAAAACAACTGAAATCATAACAAACAGTCTCTCAGACCATAGTGCAATCAAGTTAGAACTCAGAATTCAGAAACTAACTCAGAACCGCACAGCTTTCATGGAAACTAAACAACTGGCTCTTGAATGTTGATTGGATTAACAATGAAATGAAGGCAGAAATAAAGAAGTTCATCGAAGACAATGAGAACGAAGACACAACATACCAGAATCTCTGGGACACATTTTAAGCAGTCTCTAGAGGAAAATATATAGCAGTAAGTGTCCTGATGAGAAGAGTAGAGAGATCCACAATTGACATCCTATTGTCAAAATTCAAAGAGCTAGCGGAGCAAGATCAAAAAAACTCAAAACCTAGCAGAAGACAAGAAATAACTAAGATCAGAGCAGAACTGAAGAAGATAAAGACATGAAAAACCCTTCAAAAAAATCAATAAATCCAAGAGGTGGTTTTTTGAAAAGATCAACAAAATAGACCACTAGCCAGACTGATAAAAAAGAAAAGAGGGAATAACCAAATAGATGCAATAAAAAACTATAAAGGGGAAATCACCACAGATTCCACAAAAATTCAAACCATCATCAGAGAATATTACAAACAACTCTATACACATGAACCAGTAAACCTGGAAGGAATGAATAAATTCCTGGACACCTGTGTCCTCCCATGCCTAAACTAGGAGGAAGCTGAAACTATGCACAGACCAGTAACAAGGTCGGAAGTTGAGGCAGCAATTAAGAGCCTACCACACAAAAAAAGCCCAGGTCCAGATGGGTTCACGGCCGAATTCTACCAGACACACAAAGAGGAGCTGGTACCATCCCTTCTGAAACTATTCCAAATAATCCAAAAAGAGAGAATCCTTCCCAAATCATTGTATAAGACCAACATCATCCTGATACCAAAACCTGGCAGAGATCCAACAAGAAAAGAAAACTTCAGGGCAATATCCATGATGAACATCGACGCAAAAATCTTCAATAAAATACTGGCAAACAGACTGCAACAGCACATCAAGAAGCTTATCCATCATGACCAAGTTGCCTTCATCCCGGGATGAAAGGCTGGTTCAACATATGAAAATCCATAAATGTAATCCATCACATAAACAGAGCCAAAGACAAAAACCACATGATTTTCTCAATAGATGCAGAGAAGGCCTTCAAGAAAATTCAACAGCACTTCACGCTAAAAACTCTCAATAAACTAGGTATTGACAGTACATATCAAAAAATGATAAAAGCTATATATGACAAACCTACAGCCAGTATATTGAACGGGCAAAAGCTGGAAGCATTCC